GCATTAGTAGTAGTAGTAGTAGTAGTAGTAGTAGTAGTAGTAGTAGTAGTAGTGCTCGCATGTGTCGTCGTACTAGCCTTGTTAGTGTGATCATTCGTATGCGTATGCTGCTTCGTCTCGGTAGTATTCTTAATAGTGGTCGTCTTATTACTAGTCGCCGTCGTCGTATTAGTAGTAGTAGTAGTAGTATTATGATTCAGAGCATTATTAATAGTATGTTACTTATCAGCGATAGAAGTATTACTATTAGTCGTTTTCTTAATTCGTCGTCGCAGTCTTCTTCGTACCATTAGGATTAGTATTCTTCATGAAATATTCATATTCGTATGTTTCATGTTAGTATGTTTCATATAGTTTCAAATTCGTATGTTTCAAGCGCTCCGAAGAGTTTGGAACAAAAAAAGTGTTCCCAGGTTACCAAAAGCGAGGAGTAGGAAGCGGAGGAGGACGAAGAGGAGAAGGAAGAGAAGAAGGAGGAGGAGGAGGACGGGGGAAAAGGAGGACGGGGTAGGAGGAGGAGGAGGAAGAGGAAAGGGACGGAAGAGGAGACGGAGGAGGAGGAACGACAGGAGGGAGAAGGAGGGAGAAGGAGGAGGAGGAGGGAGAAGGGAGGAGGGAGGAGGATGAGGAGGAGGAGGAGAAGGAGGACGAGGACGAGGAGGAGGAGACGGGGGGAGGGAGAAGGGAGGAGGGGAGAAGGAGGAGAGGAGGAGGAGGAGAAGAAGAAGAGGACGAAGACGAGGAGGAGCGGGGGGAGCGGAATGCAGTTGGATACCCGTATCCCGTCATGCTCCCACCCCCTGTCTGGTATGTGGTTGTGGTCGTCCGTACCCCTCCCTCCCTCCCTCGCTCCCTCACTCCCTTCCTCCCCCTCCCCCTCCTCCTCCTCCGCCTCCTCCTCCTCATCCTCTTCCTCCTCCTCTTCCACCTCCTCCTCCTCCTCTTCCTCCTCCTCCTCCTCCTCCGCCTCCGCCTCCGCCTCCTCCTCCGCCTCCGCCGCCTCCTCCTCCTCTTCCCTCCGCCTCCGCCTCCTCCGCCTCCGCCTCCGCCTCCTTCTGTGTCTCCGCCTCCTCCTCCTCCTCCATTTCCCTCCCCCCCTCCCTCACCCCCCCCCCCATGCCCCCGAAACCGAGCTCCCGCGTTCGCCCCCGAGGTCGATCTCCGGGTTTTCGATCAATTCCCGCACCGGCGGCCCTCCGGCCGCGGCGAGCGCCACCGCGAACGGGTCGGCCTCGGGGTCCTGCCCGAGCCTGGCGGTGAGGCGAAGAGGGCGGTAGGAAGGCACCAACTATACACCAACACCGATGATCCTGGCCAGGATCGGTGTTGGTGTATAGTTGGTGCCCTCCGAGGCGGAGTTCTTTAACGGGCCCCGAAATGACGCCCATAGAAAGGAGTAATTCCCCTTCCTCCTCGCCATCCGTCCTCCTCTCCCCCTCATCATCATCATTCTCATAATCATGCTCAGCATCATCATCGATATTGCCACCAGAAGCAATATCATCCGCATAATCATAATCAGCAGCATTATCATCCTCATCATCACCAGAATCAGCATCATCAGCAGCAGCATCGTCATCATAACCAACATCACCATCATCATCACCGTGACCCATCAGCATCCTCAACCCCATCCTAACGCATCAGCATCAGCATTGTCATCATCATCGTCATCATCATCATCACCACCATCATTTTCTGTAGTCGCCGTGCCTCGTCCACCCCTCGGGCACGTACTGCCCGGCTGGAACCGTTCTCAGGTCACGACTGGCCGTCACACCCGCGCGGCTGGGTACAGACACAACAGAATACGTGGATCCATCGGGCAAGCGTTGCGGCTGCACCGCGCTTGCGGCTCCCCGCCAGAGCCCAACAACAAATATTCCTGCGATACGCCACCGATAATCATCAGCGTCCACCTTGAAGTACAAGCATTGCCGCGCAGTCTCGCGCCTTCTTCCGGCTGTCAACACGTCAACACGATTGTTCTGTACATTGCGTCTTCTGGTGTCGGGGACGCCCTGCTCCTGCTCCCTTGGTGCGCTCGTCCGCGCGGAGCGCTCGCAGGAGGCATTCGTGGGCAGAGTCATCGTACAGCGCTTCCACGGCGGTCCCCTTCATGAAAACGATCGCGGAGGCCTTCTCCTCGAGGATGCTCGTGGAGGTGATGGTTTTCCTCCCTTTCGCCACGCTGGTGCTCACAGAGGCCTCTGAGGAAGGTGCTCGTGGAGGTCTTCACCATCAAGGTACTCGCGGAGGCTTTCTCTGGGAGATTGCTCGTGGAGGTTCTCTTCGCGCTGGTGCTCGCAAATGCCTTCTTCGGAAGGTGATCGCAGAGGTCTTCGTCATGGACGTGCTCGTGGAGGCCTTCTCTGAAAGGGTGATCGCCCTCCCGCGTTCGTAGGGACCTTTTCTTCGGAAGGTGCTCGTAGAGGTCTGATTCCTGAAGGTGCTCGCGGAGGCCCTCTCCAGGCGGGTGTTCGTGGAGGTTCTCTTGGCGCCGGTGTTCGCGAAGGCCTTCTTGAGAATGTCATCGCAGAGGTCTTCCTCATGGATTTCCTCGTGGAGGTTTTCTACGGGAGGATGGTCGTGGAGGTTTTCCTCCCTCGCGCTCGTGAAGGCCTTCTTCAAGGGGCGTTCGTGGAGGTCCTCACGAATGTGTTCGCCAAGGCCTTTTTTCCGGGAGGATGCTCGTGGAGGTCTTACTCGTGCCAGTGCCCTTGGAGGTATATTTCGCGGAGCGGTCGTGGAGGCATTCGTCATCCGTGTGCTGATGGAGGCCCTCTGTGGGAGGCTGCTCGCGGATGTCTTCTCCGCGCTGGCGTTCGCGGAGGCCGCCTCTGGGAGGATGCCCGCGGAGATCGTTTTCGCACCCGTGGACGTGACGTATACGTCGAAGCGTTCGTGGAGGCCATCGCCACTACGGCCGGTTGCTTCGTTGCCCTGTCGCTGGTGCTGGAGACCCTCTTTCGCTGGGTGGTGTCGCCCTGATGGTCATCATCTCTGTAATCCCCGTGCCTCGTCCACTCCTCGGGCCCGTACTGCCCGGCTGGAACCGTTCTCAGGTCACGAATGGCCGTCACACCCGCGCGGCTGGGTGCAGACACAACAGAGTGAGTGGGACCGACGGGCAACCGTTGCGGCTGCACCGCGCGCTTGCGGCTCCCCGCCAGAACCCAACAACGTGCTGGTTCTCCTGATCTCCTGTGTTCCTGCAGTACGCAACCGATCATCATCATCATCATCATCATCATCATCATCATCATCATCATCATCATCATCATCATCATCATCATCATCATCATCATCATCATCATCATCATCATCATCATTCTCAGCAGCAGCAGCAGCATCGTCATCATCATCATCATCATCATCATCATCATCATCATCATCATCATCATCATCAGCATCATCATCATCATCATCATCATCACCACCACCACCACCACCACCACCACCATCAGCATCATCATCATCATCATCATCATCATCATCATCATCATCATCATCATCATCATCATAATCATCATCATCAACAACAACAACAACAACGACAACAACAACAACAACAACATCATCATCATCTTCATCATCATCATCATGATCATCATCATCATGATCATCATCATCATCATCATCATCATCATCATCATCATCATCATCATCATCATCATCATCATCCTCAGCATCAGCATCATCATCACCATCACCAACACCATCGTCATCATCATCATCATCACACATCATCAGCATGGTCATAAACAGCATGATCATAATCAGCATGAGTATCATCAACAGCATCATCAGCATCAACATCATCATCAACATCATCAGAATCATCATCGCCAGCAGGCATCCTCCCAGCATCAGACAATAGTCACCACATGCCCATCCACACTCAAATCGTCATCATCAGCAGCAGTGTCATCTTCATGATCATAACCATCACGACCACCTCCACAATAGTAATCATAGTATGACGTCATCAGCATCCGCAGCATCTGCATCATCAGCAGCAGCATCAATATCAGTGTCACAACAAATACCATCAGCATGTCCAGCCAGATCCACCGCCAGATCCAGTGCCAACGACAGCCTCATCGGCATACGCATCTGCATCCGTATCACCATCGCAACGTTATCAACACCGACATCACCACCATCATCCTTCATCCATCCTCCCTCTTCCTCATCCTTCTCCTCATCCTCCTCCTCCTCCTCCTCCTCCTCTTCGACCTCCTCGTCCTCATCCTCCTCCTCCTCCTCCTCCTCCTCCTCCTCCTCCTCCTCCTCTTCCTCCTCCTCGGTCCTACTCCTCCCTATCGACCTGCCCCCGCCTCTGCCCCCCCCGTCCTCTCCCTCCTCCTGGTCCCGAGCAGAACCAGATCGTGCGCTCGCGGAGGGCCTCCAGCGGCCCCGCGGACGCGTGCACGCCGTTGTCCTGGTAGTTTGTCTCCTCCTTCAGGCCCAGGTCCTGCCAGCCGTCGCGGATGAGCGCCCTCGGCAATGGCCCGCGGCCAAGGCGGGCGGCGGGGCGCGGCGAGGCGCGGGGGGCGAAGGGGGGGGGGGACAGGAGGGGAGGAGGGGGGAGAGGAAGAGCGGAGCGGGAATGGGGCAGGGGTGGCGGGAGGGGGGAAAGGAGCAGGCTGGGCGCGGTCGCGCTCGCGCCTCGTCTGAAACCCTGCCCCTGCAATCCATCCCTCACCATTGCGCGGATGCGTCCCGATCCGCCGACGGGTGTCATATCGGACCTGGAAAGCTCAGTAGGACCCCTATCGTGGCATAAGAAAGCTGTGTACTTTCGTGGAGGAGGAGGAAGAGGGCGTGGAGGAGGTGGTGGCGGATGAACAAAAGGACGGGCAAGAGGATGGGGATAAGGAAGGAGGAAGACGACGAGGAGCAGACGCAGCAGGAGCAGGAGCAGGAGGAGCGGGATGAGCAGGAGGAACCGTGGAAAGCGGAGAAAAAGGAAAGGAGCGGGGCGACAACGACGATGAAGCACCCAGATCCAGAGTTGTGGCCCGCGCTGGGGCGAGAGTGCTGATTTGAACGACGGGGTCAAAGCGTCGATCCTAAAGCAATGCTTCAAAAATGTTGGAGAAAATGCGCCCTGCTCGGGCATGATACGGGGATTGAGATTCATCTTGGATAACTGTGAAGGGGGCGGGGGGGGAAACAGATGAGCGAGTGCCAAAAAGGGGGTGTTGGGGGAGGGCAGAAAGGGGGAAAGGGGAAGGGGGAATGGCGGGGGTGAGTGGGGGCGAGGGGTGGAAAGGAGACGTGGTTGATGGGAGAGTGCAAGACGAGGTACAAGGGTAGAGGGCATAGGTGGCGAAGAACGCCTCACCGCCAAATTCCCCAGCCTGGCCTCAGCGAGCCGGCGGCGGCGTCCGGGGGGTTCGTCGAGCCTATGACCTCCTCCATACGGGCTCGTAATAAGCACACCCAGTCAACGCTCTTCCTCCTCCTCCTCCTCCTCCTCCTCCTCCTGCTCATCTTGTTTTGATGTTTACTACTATCACCAATATCATTATTCCACCTCCCTCCTCCTCCTCCTCCTCCTCCTCCTCCTCCTCCTCCTCCTCCTCCTCCTCCTCCTCCTCCTCCTGCTCCCTCCTCCTCCTCCTCCTCCTCCTCCCCATCCTCCTCCTCCCCCATATTCCTCCTCCCCCTCCTCCTCCTCAATATTCATCATCATCATCATCATCAGCATCATCATCATCATCATCATCATCATCATCATCATCATCACCATCATCATCATCATCATCATCATCATCATCATCATCATCATCATCATCATCACCATCATCACCATCATCATCATCATCATCATCATCATCAGCAGCAGCATCATCATCATCATCATCATCAGCGTCAACGTCATCACCATCATCATCTGCATCATTATCAGCATCAGCATCCAGCATCAGCATCAGCATCAGCATCAGCATCAGCATCAGCATCAGCAGCAGCATCATCATCATCATCATCATCATCATCATCATCATCATCATTATCAACATCATCATCATCATCATTATCAGCAGCACCAGCATCGTCATCCATCATTATCAGCATCATCACATCATCATCGCCACCACCATCATCATCAGCTTCATCAGCAGCAGCATCATCAGCATCATCATAATCATCATCATCAGCATCATCAGCATCATCATCACCCTCATCCTCATCCTCATCCTCCTGTTCCTCCTCTTTTCCTCCTTGGGTCGGCCTCAAAAGCGCAGTCTTCAAATGCCCGCCAGAAGACCCGTCCAAAGCACCCAGATCTCTGGCAAACCCTCTTAGCGCCACACCGCCCTCTCTTAGGCAGCAAAGACTCGCCCAAACCTGGTCAAACCCAACTTCGCCAAATCGGCACAGAGATATGCCTCCGAGCGAGCCGGCGTATCCCGAGACCCATGGAGGCATCGCTGCAGCTGAGCACAGACTCCAACGCGCCTGATCGCGTCTGGAAGCTCCACGAATCTATCCCGCGCGGCCATCGCGCGCAAGTGGGCCTCGCGAACATCATGGATAAAGATTTTCCGCCCACCGCCACCGCCAGCCCACCCCGTAGCAACATGGGAGACAGGCAGCACTGCGCGAAGAAACCATCATTCCAGGGGGGCGATTTTCTTCGCCACGTGGCGGCACTGCACGTTCGGCGAGGTCGCGCTGGTTGCCAGTCGCTTTCCACACCTGCCACTACAGCATGAAAACGCCATCCCCCTACATCGCTCCACAATAGGTCTGTCGGCACGGGGCCCCCCGCAAGGATGTCGTGGAATACATGCCGCCCTCATCCTACTGGGACTGACGGTGCCGCGCGGGGCCGCCCGGCCACTCTCTGCTTAGGGCACCCGATCGCGCGCCACGTGCTCACGCGCAGCGCGCCCGAGTAGCTTCAGATCCTTTCGCCCCCCCCCCTGCCCCAGGTCCTACATCGCGCGCCCCGTGTCGGCAATCTACGATGACCACACATTCGATGCGGTCGTTGCGCCTCGACACCCCGCCAGGTAGCCCTACACGGGGAACTGGGGCACATTAGCACGGCGTTCGCCTTGCCGCCGAACAGGCGCCGGCTCGCACGTTGGCCCGCGCACCTCTTTGCCAGCATCGCCCAAACAGCCGTCGCTGAGCTCGTAAACAAGGTTACCCTTCTAGCCGAGGCTGGTTTCCTGCCTTGCTACATGCTGGCGCAGGTGGGCGACCGTGGAACCGATCCGCGGATCTTACATCCGTTGCGCCCGCGGCTCGCGCCAGCTGGGCGAGCCGCCAGGGCGCTCGCGGGGGAAATGGCGCCCATCGCGCAGCTGCATCTCATGGGTGTCCGAAGCGCAATGTAACGGGACACGAGCCTCCGCCATCTCCCTGCTGAAAAGTGCCTGCCCCATCTGGTGGTTATTGAATGCCATCGAGCACGCCGGGCGACGCCCGGCCCCTCCTCCCCTATCCCCCCTCGGCCCACCCCCGTCGCTGTCGCAGAGGAAAATTTAACGGCCGGCCGCGCCGGCGCATCCGCGCGTGGAAAGTCGGACCAGGAGCGATCGATAAAATGGGCAGCCCCCGAAGGTCAGCCGCGGCCAGGCGGGGAGAACAGCTCGCAAATCGGAAAGAAAGCTTCGTCCTTCGCAACGTTCCGTGGCGCGCCCCTCGCCAGAAGCCCAATCGCGTCGTCGCCCTCGCCCTCCTCCACTGATACTTCGACGGGTTTCTCAGTTTCGCTAGCGCGGCGCCCGTCGGAGGCCCCGGGCACCTGGCGCGTCGGCCGCTCGACGACCCGGACGCGGCGGGACCCCCTCGGGCAGCGCCTCATCAAGCGGCTCCGCCGCGCCCCAAACCTCACTGCCAACGCGGCGACATGAACCTCCAGCTCCGCGCCGGCTCGCCGAGACAGCATCGACCCTGTCCGCCGCCGCCCCGGCGCGCGGACCCCGAACGGGGCCCGGACGGCCTCCGAGGCGGGCGAGACGCGACGCGAGGCGAAGGGCGCCGCCATCCCCTCACAAACGTGCACCGGAGGCGCCACGCGGTGCGCCCCAGCAGAAGCACGGCTGTCCTCCGGAGGCAGGCGCGCCTCGGCGCGCACCCGGGCCCCCGCCCTGCGCCGGCGCCGCCCGCCACTCGGGCGGCTTCGGGGCGACGGCCGCAGCAGCGGCGGCCCCCGCGCGCCCCGCCCCCGAAGTGCCACGATCAACACGTCGAGAAATACCAGCGTTCCACGCGCGGGGCCCCGCGAGCGGCGCGCGCATCCAGCGCGCTCGCCGCCGCCCGCAACACGATGAATAACTGGACACAGAGGAGACCCAACCATGCACTGGGGAGCCAACCAGCACCCACAACCAGCATCATGCACAGACTGCGCCTCGCTCGGCACATCACACCACGCCCCATGGACCTCTTTGCCAAACAACCGCCAGCATCCAGTCTTGCCGCCGTCGCCCTGGAGACTCTTCGTCGCAGCGCCCGCCACCGAGCGCGCGCTCGGGGCGTGGCCGCCGATGTTCCTCTCGAGCGCAACTAGATGCAACCGCGGCGCGCCCTTGAACAGCTTGGCCGCGTTCTCAGTCGCGCCATGCTCTGCGATTCTCAAACCACGGGCGCTATCGGGATCGCTCCACAATCGAGCCCCTCGGCTACCTGCGGGCCGCCGACGCGGGCTCGCCGCCCATCTCGAGCTTCGTCCGCGCGCGGCCCTTGGGGCCCCGTCGCCTGGGCCCCGCGGTCTCGACCGCGCCCCGCGCGCGCCATGGTACTCACGCGAACTCATCTTCCAACATCACCTCAAGGACCTGCCTCTATTTCCTCGGCCGCCTTGCAGGAGGCGGGTTCGACGCGCTCGGCGCGCCGCGGAAGGGAAGGCGAGAGGCCCCCCGAGCGCCCCCTTGAGCCGCGGCCGCGGCGCTCGGGCCCCTAGCTGGCTCAATCACCATCGCCCCCTCCGTCTAACAAACACACGAAAACAAATATATATATATATATATATACTTGGCCCTCGAAAGCCCTCGGCCCCATCGCCCCACCCCTCGCCACGCACCGTCCGCGGCGGCGCCCGCGCCCTCAGCGCACGCGAGCGCCGCCCCCCCCGCGGGATCTCGACCCCCTGGCCCATGATCTCGCGCGCGATCTCGCCGCCATCCCCCGCGAGAACAAACCTGTTATCCGCCGGCGAGAGGTGCGAGACATCGACCAAGGACCTATCGATCTTGGCTATCTGCCACGTCGCGCCACACCAGCGCCCCTCATCGGACTTGAACGCGACGGCCTCTTAGCCTGATTCGGGATCCTAGAACCATCTGGGGCGCGATACTTCTTCCCACTCCTCGACATGGGGCTGAGCCTGGTTCACCACGCCTCCGAAGTGGCCTGGGGGATCATGGAACAGACGGCCCCCGAATCGACCACAGCCTCCGCCGAGCGGGCCCCGTGAACCTGATACCCTAGCGCATTGGGCGACTTGGCGTTGAACTCGCCAGGCTGATGCATCGCAGAGGCGCAGAGCGGCCTGTAAACCTGCTTCGCGCGATAAGCCACAGACCCCAGGACCCCTGGCATGCTCGCAGGCGGGGGCGGGGCGCCAGCAAGCTCCGCGAGCGTCGGCAATGGCCCGCGAGCCATCGCAAGTCTCATCATCGTCGTCCTCAGCCAGGGGTTCGAACGGATGTGGAGTCGCGCAATCAATCGTGCAACAGCGCGTAGGCCGTCGCGCCATCGCGCGACAGCGCGCAGGCCATGCGCATCCACCTCGCGTCACCTTGTGGGTCCACCGGCGCCACTGATGCACCATCCTCCTTGCCATTCGCCTCCTCCTCAATTATCCAGCGCTCCCGCAACCACCTTGTCCAAACCCCACCTCCACGCCATCTCCGCGCACAGCAGCTGGCTAATCCCACTGTTTGTGGCCAGGCCTCCCGCGGCGATGGCAGTTGCCAGGGAACCGGCCAGTCTTTCTGCCGCCACCATCCATGCCACCGCTCTGGCCACATGCTGGCGGGGCCGCCCTATTCCCTTCACCCAGGCGGGCGGGGCGGAAAGCCAGACTCGCCCTTCCCCGTCTTCCTCTTGGTCAGCGCGCAGAGCGCGTTCACGACAACGTAAACTCACCATCCTTGACCACGGAAGCCTCGCTGTTCAGGTTACCCAACGTTGATGCTGGAGTCACCCATTGAATTTCCTGGGGCCGTAGTGGGCCGCTCTCGACGAGCTCTTGGCGTGATCCAACTGGGCCTTCATCCAGCTGGTTTCAACCCAGCCTCAGCGAGCCCCAGCCGAGAGACCGGCTCGCCTCCGTCTCCGTCAGGCGTCGTCGCGGCCGCGTGGGCGGCCTGCTGCTCGAGCTGCCCTTCCATCTCCACGTTTTCGGCCAGGAGCTGCTCCCCGAAGAAACGTTCTGCAGCCTCACGCCGATCGTGTTCCACAGTGCACTCCTCGATGATACTCCACACATTGGATTGCTGCACTTGACCTCAAGCTCCAGGACTGTGGCTGTCGTCTGGGCTCCCACTTGCTCAATGCTCGAACGGGCATGCTTGTGTCAGAACTCGTGTTTCCCAGGTTAGATCTTGAAGCTCTCCACGGTTTACGCCAGGGCGGCCACGCCTGCGTCGGCAATCCGCTGGAGATTGTCAGCAACCTTCGCCTCGACCTCCTGGGTGCTGGACCTCCTCCTCCTCATCCTCCTCCTCCTCCTCCTCCTCAAGTGGGCCTCGCACATCCGTGCTCGGGCAACTGTGCCTCCCCGACGCCTTTGCCCAGGGCCGCAGCCGCTGGTCGACCCTGGCACCCCACACGCTGAGCTGGCCGAGAACGTCGCCGGCGCCGAAGGGCGGCACACGTTTTGTCGCAGACCTGGCGAGCGCGCCGGTCGGTCCGGCGGCGCAGGGGCGCTGAGCGGCGAATTGAGCGCGGCAGAGGTCGGGGGGCCAAAGGATGCCGGTACCGCTACCCCCAAGACATCTCCTGGGGGGCGTTCTGACCAGCATTTTTCGAGGGCCACCCGGACGTGGCGACGAGGGCTCTCCAGGACGAGCAGCGGAAGCGGTATCTCTGTCCCCCTCTGAAAGGAGGCGGGAAGAGGAGCGGGGCGGCCGCGGAGGGGAGGAGCGCGCGGGGGGGTGGGGGGCAACTGAGACTGCGAGGGCCTAGCGAGCGTTCAAAGGCATGGTGACACAGAGCTGCATCCTCCGAAGCATCGTGCGTCATCTGCTCCTCTTATGGAGGACGAAGAAGAAGAAGAATAAGAGGAGGAGGAGGAGGAGGAGGAGGAGGAGGAGGAGGAGGAGGAGGAGGAGGAGGAGGAGGGGGAGGGCGACAAGAACGCAGACGACGACGAGGACGACGTCGACAACGATGGCGACGATGACGACGACGATGACGACGATGATGACGGCGATGACGATGACGACGATGACGATGAGGAGGAGGAGTCAGTATGGGCCCCGCCGATCCTGGCGGAATGTGGCCCAGGGCAGCTCCTTCTCGTCGAATCTCACCTGAAACCAATGCACGACGACCCCCGAGGCCGTAAACTTCTCGCGCATCCGTGCGTAGAAGCCGTTGAGGACGTAGATCTCAGGGGCAGTGGCGCCGGTGCGGCCCTCCAGCTTGGCGCAGTACAACCCAGACCCGAGCTTCTCGTAACCCGCCGCGAGGCATCGAGACAACAGCTCGCTGGGATCCACGTCCAGCGCCTCCATGGCTAGAGGAAGGAAAAAGGACATCAGCATACAGTCTTGAAGCTCCGCGCGAACTGCTCGAATCTGCGCTGGAGCCCCCTGGCGCTGGAGACGCGTCAGGGAGGGGGGTCCGGCGCCGATCCAAGAAAACCGCGCGAAGGTCCAAAAGATGATGCTCACGCAATTTTTCTTCTCCGAATGGCAGTTGCGGCGCTGTACACGGCCCCTGCGGCCAGGGCCTCCTCGAGCTCCCTGCCGTACCCGGCCAGGAACTTGGCGGCCTCCGCGGCACCCAGCCCGAGAGCCCGTAAGTCCGTGGTTGGCTGGCCAGGCCTAGGGCTGGGGGGCCCGTCGTGAACAAGCCACAGAGAAAGGAAAAGAGGCATACACATGACCATGCTTGGAGCCGTGCTGGACCCCCTGCCCGACGCGCAGAGCGCGCCAGGGGCGGCGCCAGAGGCGCCGCTGGGCAGCGACAACGCAGATCCCAAAAATCCGAGCGGACGCCAGTTCTTGTGTTTGTGAAGTTGCTCCTCTTCGAGATCGGGCAGATCCCCGCGGAGAGCCCGAAGCACGTCCTGGAGCCTGCCAGCCCTCCGCCGTCCCGCATCCTGTCCGGCCTCTCCTGAGGGCCACCCCCCAGCCCTCGGGGTGTGGCCAGCCGCCCACGGCCGCGATGTCCCTGGACATGCCCACGCGCGCGATGGCGGCGTAGTGGGCGTCGATGATGCCGCCGCTCTCGATCTCGGCCGCGGTGACGGAGCCGGACCGAACCACCGAGACGCCACGCTCCTCCAGAGTGCGCGGGACCAGCTCCTGCAGGAGGAGGAGGAGGAGGAGGAGGAGGAGGAGGAGAGGAGGAGGAGGGAGAGGAGGAGGGAGAGGGAGGGCAGAGGAGGGAGGGAGGGAGGAGGGGGAGGAGGAGGAGGAGGAGGAGGAGGAGGAGGAGGAGGAGGAGAGCCAGAGGGCGCCAGCAACCCACGCGTGGGGCCCAGGAGCGGCCTGGCCGGGATCGGCGCAAGTGCACAGCCTGGCCCCCTCCCGAGGGAGGAGACGGAGGGAGCAGGCGGAGGGCGCCCCACGCTCCTCCTCCTCCTCTTGCTCCTCCTCTTCCTCCTCCTCCTCCTCCTCCTCCTCCTCCTCCTCCTCCTCCTCCTCCTCCTCCTCCTCCTCCTCCTCCTCCTCCTCCTCCTCCCTCCTCCTCCTCTCCTCCTCCTCCTCCTCCTCCTCCTCCTCCTCCTCCTCCCTCCCCTCCGCCTCCTCCCCCTCCTCCGCCTCCTCCCCCTCCTCCTCCTCCTCCTCCTCCTCCTCCTCCTCCTCGTCCTCCTCCTCCTCCTCCTCCTCAGCCATTTCGCGCCGAGCCCGCCTTTGGCCTGCAGAGAGGCGGAGCGCGGCGTCAGCGGGCGCCAACTTCCAAGTGCCACTACGCTCGCAAGCTGAATGGGCTCCCACACCCGCACGCGCCATGGGTGGACTTGCACAGCGTGCAAAGTCAAGAACGGAGCAGGCTACGACTATTGCTGGAAGTGCTGGGGCACCAAGGGCGGCGCGAAGCCCACCGGTGGAGGCAGCAGCGGTGGACCCGACCATGCAGAGGGAGAGGACGTTGCCAAGGCGAAGGTCCGCAAGCTTAGAGGAGACCTCCAAGAGCTGCGGAAGCAGGCTGCGGACCCAAACCTCGGACCCCTGGTGGCTGGGAACATAATCGTGCTACAGCAGCAGGTTGATCAGTTGCAGGAGACTGTCGATGCGGACAGCGAGGAACCGCGCTGCTTTTTCAGAATACAAAATGGTGCGGACGAGGAACAAGTGTGAGAGCATGCGAGACCGCGCCAAGGAGCGCGTCGATAAGCAAGAGGAAATCATCGAAGCTCAGGAGAAGTTGGAGTGAGTCAGAGCTGCGCTGGCTAAGCATGAGGATAGGCTCGGCAAGCTCCAGCAGCGCATCGATGAGCTCAGTGTACCGAAGCCTGGGCAAGGATGGGGCGCAGCGGTCGCCTTCCCCGAGCAGGCAGACAAGTGCTTGCGCGACAAGGGCGCCGATTTCCAGCTCCAGGACGCCTTGCAGCACGCCAACATCCAGAAGAAGGCTGAGGAGGAGCGCGGACTGCGAAAGAGGCAAAGGAGGCGGAAGCAAAGGCAGCTGCAGCGGCAGCCAGCGCCAAAGCCGACATGCACCACTACAGCTACCAGCGGGCCAAGCGCATGGCCGACACAGAGATCAAAGACGAGTTGCTCGAGTTCCCGCAGACGGCCAGCGAGAAGGACATACGGAGAAGGGGGGCTGCACCGCCGAGCAGATGGACAGGCATGCGCCTCTTTTATTTCCTCTGCTGGCTTCTTTGTCCCCTGAGCACACACTCGACATCGACAAGAGGACCTGGGCGACACCGCCGCGTTCCCGACGAAAGGAAGGGCGAGCAGGAGTTCTACACATTGAACGCGAACTCCATCGGCACGCTCGCGAGGGTGCTGGATCACATCAGGTATACCAGCAGCGCGCCAGTGGTGATGGCGCAGGAGTTGCAGGCTAGCCCGCACACCATCTCCTGCGTCACCAAGCGCACGCAGAAGGCGGGATGGCGCATGATCATAGCACCAAGCTTCGAGACCACGGGCGGATGGAGTGCGGGGGTCGCCCTCGCTACCGCGCCGTCCGTCGGGATCACATACAGCAGAGGCCTGGACAAGTGGGATATCTAACCTCCAGAATGCGAAAGCCGCGCGGCGATTGGGACGATCGCGGTCATAGACAAGCAGGGCATCAACGCCGGCTCCATGTACCTCTGGGTCAGCGAGCGCACGACGGACAGGAAGAAGGCCACCCTGAGGAACTTCGCCACAGCGGCGCAAGCTGCGGGTCGGCGGTGGATCCTGGGAGGCGACTTCAACATGGACCGGACTGAGCTCGAAGACTCAGGCGTGCTCAACAGGATGGGAGGGATCATCGTGTTCGACGCACACAGGAGATCATGCACTACGACGGGGGTAAATCGGCACAGAGACTACTTCATCATCTCGAGGGCACTGTCCGACAGTGCTATCACAGCCTACGTGCAAGACCAGAACAACGCGGCGCCGCATGCGCCCGTCCTTCTGATAGTGCCAGGGCAGCTGGCACCAAAGAGGATACGAGTATTGAGACGGCTAAAGCGGTAGCCACTGGAGCTACCGACAGGGTGCGCGCCAGGACGAACAACATGGCCGCGGCTGCTCCAGGCAGGGCAGTGCGAGCAGCAGGGCATGGACGAATACTGGAGCCACCTGGCGACGACCTGCGAGGACCGCCTCAACGGGCACCACAAGTTCGTCGGCATCGAGCTCTACGAACGGAAAGGCCACCAGCAGATACCCACCTACGTTTGGGAAGTGCTGAAGGCGTGTAAGGCGGGGGAGGCCTCGAGGGAGCAGGAGTGGGCCGAAGCAGCAGGGCGGCTTAGCAGAAGGCTGGGCCAGATCGCAGCGGCTACGAGACAATGGTGGGCTGCAGGCAAGGTGGAGACCTTGGACTGGGCGCGCCGCAACGCCAATGGCAGCCTCGACCAGGCAATCATCACGCCGCAGCAGGAGCGGCACCACCCCGCCTGGAGCGACGGCCTCGAGCACGAGGTCGACGCGACGACGGCGGCAACAACGACGACGACGCTCTTGGCACGAGCGACATCGACACAGACATGATCACCACGTACCGAGCTGAGGTGGACATCCAGGGCCACCCAGAGAGTACTCCTCGGAACCCTGCTGTCACTGGCCAAGGTGCCAGGCGCGACTGCCTGATGGCAGAGGCGGAAGCGGCAAGAGGGCGCCGCCTCCCGACGGGGCGGGGGAACGCGTGGCACACCATCGACTAGGCGAAGCTGGCGAACACAGCGGCGTGGATCGACGTACCCACGTTCACGGACAGGGGCGTGCACTACATCGAGAGCGTGTCCAAGCTGCTGAAGTGGCGAGCATGCATACCTGGCGGCGAGCGCGACAAGCACCAGCCAAGGGATGGCGCCGCTGGGTTGCCATGCACAGCCAAGCAGGAGCAGGGTCGCTGCACAGGTGGACCAAGCCGCCAGTGCAGCGGGAACCGATGAAGGCGACGGGGACGCGCACCGCGATCGAGCTCCTCTGCCTGCAGGTGGCGGCAGATGCGGCGCTCGCGGGCTGGGAGAAGGTGCGGGCTGACAGCTGCGACCCTGGCGAGCCGCGGTGCCAGGCCCCGACCAACGTAGAGCTGAACGAGCATGCGGTGCCGAGGATCACTCTCAAGAATGTCCTGGACGCACGCGGACGCTTCCGAGCCAACACGGGCTTGGGCGAAGCAGACTGGCGCCCGCGCCCACGGCGACAGGGAGGCCATCAAGGGGCAGCACGCGTGACAAGCGTGCTGCACGTGGTGGAGAAGGGCGCGCCATGGCCAACAGCACAGGCGACCATGCTGTTCTACCTCATGGCGAAGCCCGCGGGTGGCTTCCGCAACCTGAGCCTCATCCCCGAGCTGGCGCGCGCGTGGGAGACCCTCCGCATCCCGTGCGCGCGCGCCGCTGGGAGGCGGTCAACCAGAGAGCTTACGACTGGGCGAGACGAGGGCGGTCATCAGAATGGGCTGCCTGGCCGCAGGCGTTGTACCGTGAGTCAGCGCGGGCAGAAGGATACGAGCATGCGGTGACCTACTTCGACCTGGTCCAGCGTGTCGAGTAGGTCACGCACAGCAAGGTGTAGGAGGCGGCCAGGCGGTGGGACTTCAGCCCCATCGTCATGCGGGTCGTCCTGCGCATATACAGCATGGCGAGGCGCATCGTCCTGGACGGCAGCTACACCGAAGGCAGGGCATGGCTGAGGGGCATGGTGGCAGGGAGCAGGTATGCTCCATTACGCCTCAAGGTGGTGATCATCCTGGAGCTGGACGAGGTTGTCCTCAAGTTCCCGTGGGCGGACACATGCCTCTTCTTCGACGGCCTAGCCATGGCCACGCACGGACTGAAGGAAGTCGTGAAGCACTTCCACCGGCTGCTCATCGCGGCGGTGATCGACATGTTCGAGGACAGGCTCGACATGGCAGTCTCGAACGGCTCAGAGGGCAAGACAGTTACCCTGGCCTCGTCCACTGAGCTGAGCACCAGCCTGCACGCCAGCTCCCGACGCCTGGGAATACGGGTCGCAAAGCACGAGAAGCACCTGGGCGTAACGGCAGCAGCGGGCAGGAGAAGAAGGGTGACAGCCATCAGCAAGCGTGCACTCAAATTTGCAGCGAGGGCCTCACGGGTGGCAGCCGTGAGGTCGGCAGGAGGAGCAGAGCACAAGATCGTCAGGCACGCCAAGGTGCCAGCCCTACTCTACGGATCCTCAGTGGTCGGAGTGGCGGACAGTAAGCTGAACGAGCTGAAGACGAGCGTGGCAATGGCGATGCAGGGCAACACAAGGGGGCGGTCCACACCGCTCACGCTGCTGAGCGGCAACGTGGACCCTGGCAACCTGATCAACAGCGGGCCCATCCTCGCGTGGGCGACGGCGTGGCAGGAGGCGGCCCTCGACGAGCAGTTGGCGAGCAGGCTCAGCATGGCGTGGAGAACGTGGGCCATGAAGCTCGCACTATGCAAGTCACCATGGCTCACAGTGCGGGGGCCAGCGGGAGCATTCATAGCTACAGTGCGGCGATTGGGCTGGATGACGCAGTCGGCATGCACTATTACAGTTGGCAGTAAAATCTACGACCTGCGGCACACCAGACTGCAGGAGCTGTACTACCTGGTCGTCACCACCACGGATCAGCAGCTCAAAGACAGCTGGCTGCAGGAACATGGCGGCGAGTACAGCATCACATCCAT